ACCGTGCCTCTTCCATTACAAAAATTGCTCTGCCTCATCTATTTGTGAAACACAAGCATTTGCAATTCCTACGTACAGTCTTCATTTGCACAGACAGAGTCATTCCTTTTAAGGAGCATTTTGACTCTTAATCTGTGAATGGTGAGAGTACGGTTGATATTAGGGTTGGAAGTATCTGATAAGGACAATTGATCTAAGCTTTTCCTTGTTATTTTGTCTTACTTAAAAGATTAAAGCTGCAACTGCAGCGGCAAGTGAATTCAAATCTCCTGTAAATTAAACATGGTTGCAGCCTGCAGGTATCTCCCTATACTCATACTCGTCACAGCATAAGATTTTGATTTTAGGTGGGTCCAATTGACAGTACAAACTCGGTGGGGTATGGGTGATATTAGGGTTGAGAACAAGAAATTAATAATTCATAATTCCAATCCCACGGGCCACGAGTAGGGTCATCAATGGATCGTATCAAGATCTGGAAAGATTAGCTGGATGTGGATTTGGGTGGGGGAATCCGGTCCTTGGRCCGCTGTGTCCTAAGTCCTAACCCCATAGTCCACTACTACAGTACTAGGTTAACTTAAGTGGTAAAGGTAATGCCTCCGGTTGGCACAGTAGAGTCTTACCCTAAAACCCAATTGGACATGACAGTGCTATTGCTATTGGGTTGGTTTACTCGTCACCGGAAGTAGAAGGAAATGACAAGCACAATTGCAGAATCATTCATTTGGAGGAAAGTAAGGGAAGGTACAAAAGTGCCTTGTTTCTTTATTCCAAGTAAAGCCTTATTGCCTTAAGGAAAAAATTAATGGACACAAGAAAGAACACTAGAAAAGGGTGGTGCCCACAAGCCCTAATCTTGATATTGACAAATTTGGACCCTTTCCATTGGCACTGATAAGTGATAGCTAATTTGTATAGGCAATAAATTAGATATCGTATCCACCCAAAATCCCAAATCAAATAAGATTTTAATTCAAAGGTTCTTTCTTTATTCTTCTTCTTCTTCTCTCTTTGTTTTGGGCTTATGGCTACAATTTCAAACATGGGGACAATGTACCTTATCAATCCCACTAGTCCATTACAAGGGTATTAGCCTCCTTGAAAAGGAAAGGCAACTTGGTCACTCTGCTTTATGTTTCAGAGTAGAGAATTATTTAAACCATGGACATGGAATTCACAGTGGAGCAGAGCAGAGTCATGCCTATCAATCTGCTCCATTAGAGGTTCAAATCAAAGGACTTGACACTAAAGTAAAGCTAAGCACAAGACAAGTGAGGAATAAACTCTTCATCAATAGTGAAGATTGTATCGGATTTTGGTTGTAGCAAATAAATACGAGAAGGTGGGTCACCCCTCACCCACTCAGCAGATTGGATCTCATCAATAATTTCTCATGACGACATCATAACTACTATAAATTTTCAATATCAAAGGTTATGTGTCCGCTTGTGGTGCGTGCATGTGTGTTGTCTCTGTCCCTTCAATTGCATTCAGCTGTGTTGTTATCAATGTCAACTTCTCGACTCCCAACACACGCCCTAACATACGACGGCAAGTACAGAGGATGAGAGGCAAAGATGACAGTGGTATTGCAGTCCCAAGTCAGATAAATGAGAGAGGATGGAAGGGGCAGCGTCTGTGTTTGTGTGTGTCGCTAGAAGAAAGCATTTGGTTAGGACATAAGTTAATAGATGCTGTAAGGGAGAGAGCCCAGAACCGGAAGAGAAGAGCAGCTTATTAATGAAAAAACAAGCATTCATCTCTGTAACTTTGAAAACAAGTGTATTCTATTTCTCGGCCAGCTGTGGTTGACACATTGTAGGGTTTCGAAACTTGTTAGAAAGCTTTCACCGTTTCGCTGGCCAACAGGTTCTGTTGTAAGTAACAACAACTTAACTCCCACAACCTCTAATTTGTTTGTTGTAGATTCTAATGGACCATTGGACCGACTAATCAATAATCACTATTCACTGATGCACTTCAAAGCAAAGCTAATCGAGATTTGTCTGTTTATTAATTACTCTTGCACTTTTTTTCTGAAACAACTTTGCAACAACCAGTAACTTCGATTTAATTAGGCAAGGACGATAATATTGAAGCAGGAGTGTCAATGGATCTGTTTTTGGGATGCACCCATCTAAATCAAAAATCAATTTTAAACGGATTGGACGGATCAATAAGATATATTGAATCCAGTACAGTCTAAAGTAGTTATTAGATTGGATTTGATCTGGTCCATCGGTAATGAATTTATATTGTATTTAGTTGGATTGAGCCTATATCCAATCCATTAATAGAAGATAAGAATACATGTATCAGTGGACCAAGTTTGAATTGGAATCAATCTAAATTAAAACCAATTTGAACAGATTGAACGGTCTAGACATTGAATTGGACTGGTCCATAATAGTCCAGAGTATTCATGGATTGGATTGGACTTGGTCCATTTGTAATGGATTCATATCAGACCAGACCGGATTGGACTAAATTTGGTCCAATTGTCACTCCTTGAAGTAAGGTTTTTCGAACCGCAGTTGGCCCGGACAGTCAGACCATTCAGCCTGGGAGTTGTCTAGGCAACTAGTTCCGTTTTACCCAAAACCCAGTTTTTGGTAAAAAACTGTTGAAAAAGTCAACAATCCATTGACTCGGGTGGTCGACCCGTTCAACAGTTTTGACCATTTTTTTATTTTTAATTATTTTTTCATTTTTTAATTTATTTGTCAGAACGGGCCATCCGTTCAAACCGGATGGTCAGACCATCGACTCAAAAACCAGAGGCGAGAACGATTCCGTTTTCGGGTCATTTTTTAAAACGTTACCTTGAAGCATTGATATATGGGTTCAATTCCAGAAAGCAGGTGAATTTGGTATCAGAGTGGCAATGCATTTGCTTATTTTGACAACCCAATGAATTAAGGTTGCAAATGGTATTCATTTATTCAACTGTGATCCCGGATCTTCTGCAAGTAAAAACTCTGCACACATAGCATTCAGTTACACATTGGGTAAATCTTCCATATATGTATGTTAAATTCTTGGGGAGATGCTATCAGTGTGGGCAGAGTTTTACTTCCAGGGAATCCCGTTGCCACCTAGAGGGTGGTTTAAGCGGGCAGGGTCACTTCCAAAGGTTGTGCTGGTAGAGGTGCTGTTATCAAAGATGAGCGGAGTCATTTTGTGGCCAGAAGGTTTAAGTAGGTGTTTGGAACCGGTGCTGCCATATAGGCGTTTTCTAAGAAAACAACACTGGTTCAACATTGATCTATATTATCTAATTTCTAAGATGATGCCACATTATTGCACCGTTGACAGCAATGCGCCATTTTCTCAAAAAACATTGAATTTGGCATTGCTTTAGACCATACTTTGCCAATTTCTAAGGTATGGTTTGTAGCAACATTTTTTCTGAAAAAAAAAAGATACCAAATAAGAGGGCATTGTTTGAAGCACTGCTTTCTCTAATGTGGTGCCTATATGGCTCTGTTTTCTCAAAAAAACGGCATCAATGCCAAACATCACCAGAGCCTATTGCTAATTGTTTGGTGGAAGAGGCAGAAGCTGAGTGGGTCTTGAGTTGACTCAAAGTTTCGAGATTCACAAGGTTTTGAGGGAAGGATGCACAAGAGTCATTACTCAAGTTCTGTTAGATATAGCACTTCCTCTGTCCTGTGGCCAGTCCAATCTCTCCTTTGGATTTGCGAAACCCTCCTTCCACTGTTTACCAACCATGTAGCACGCTCACGTTGCTCTCTTCTGGTAGAAAGAAATTATGATATCTGCCTCTCCTGATTTCATCTCCCATGTTCTGAATTACATGATTTTGTGCCCCTATAAATCTATTAATCGGATGGAAATGACAGAGGAAACCGTGGTACACTATAAAATTAAGCCCTTTAAACTGTGTTTTGGTTGCATGGGAAACTAAGAAAAATGAATGATTTCCTTTAAAAATGATATTCAATAGGAAATCAAATCAAACCATACTCTCGATTTCCTAGTGTTTTGATTAATTTGGAAAATATAGAGTTGCAAATAGATCAGATTTAATTTGATCTGAATTCTCGTCCAATTTGTTTACTTCAGATTTGGGTGTCTATTCAGCCATTAATGGAATTAAACCGGATTTAAAAATATGATACATAGATTTTTTTTGTATTAAAATTAAGTGGGACTTTGGATTTTAGATAAATCAATTTTTTTATTGATATTATATTTATTTTTGATAATATATACTAATTTTGAACAAATTTAGAATTGAATATTTGGATATGCAAATGAATCAAATTTATTGGATTCTTATCAGATCAGATTTATGATATGATTCATTTGCCCCACCAAAAAAAGAATGAATGCCATTTTCCTACCAGTACAACTCACTTCCTAGAAAACGTTCCCTTTATCTTTTGGCTAAGATTTGATCCCAGGTCTCTGTTAACCGAACCACAGACATTACCAGCAAGCTAGTTAATGGCTTTGGAAAATGTTCAAGGCAATTTAAATCCAAACACAGTAAAATATTTCCAAGAAATCATTTGATTTCCTTCGTTTTGTGTGCAATCAAACATGATCCTCATTTCTATCAGAAAAAAAAAACCCAGAAGGCCAGAAAAGAGAATGAGAGAGAGAGAGAAATCACCATCCATCCGTCCGACTTCTGAAAATAAAAAAGYAGATTGATGATACGTGCACATTGCAAATGACAGAGGAAACCGTGGTACACTATAACTTAATATTTTCATACAAAATTCATGTTCAAAATGAAACACCCATGATGGGAAAATAAGCTTCCTCCACAACAACGTCAAGCAATGCACGCAACTCTAAAAAGTCTAAACTCATTTCTCTACAAAGATGTCAGCAATCTCGTCTGGTCAGCGGAAAACCCACTCCCTGCGGCAAAGATTGTGGTGGGTGGCGAGTCTGGTGCCTGCAGAGTTAGTGGTGAATATTACAAAATGCATCATTTTCTCCTCTTTGTTCTTTCCCTCTTTTTCCCTCACCAAAAGTTGTTTTCAATGGCGATGTCTCCGATCGAAGAGCCTCCACTTGGTGCCACCACACTCAAGCAGCAGCTCCTTGGACATCTGATAGCAACAAGAAATCATCAACCAATTYCTAGAATTTGGTTCCTTGTTCATTAATTCTTGGGAGAAACATTCTCATAAAACTATTGCAAACGACCACTTTCACATGTAGTGATAAACATTTCATCATAGCATTCAGTGGACCTAATTCCCACATTCAAGAAAATCCTAGAACATAGAAATCAAAACATTTACATATTTCATAACCAATCACAAGGAGGATGGGTAGGAGACGGATTACCCGGTAAGCCAGATACCCCTGCTTGCAGCCAAAGAACACAAAAGGGTGGAAACATTTTGAACCAGGGCTTCTCTGCCTTTCCCATAGTGACTTGCCAAGGGCGGACCCAGGGGAGCCATGCCCCCCCCCCCTATGGTTCAGAAAATCTTCATAGCAATACAGTTTTTTATCTAAAATTTCACCTCCCCCCATTGTCCACCTCAATGGTTGGCCCCCCTTATGGGCCCATCTATATTTCATTTAGGTTTTGGCCCCTCTTATAAAAATTTCCTGGCTCCGCCCTGTGACTTGCAATATTGCAAGGCAGGCCCCACACAGAATAGTCTTGTTCAGCTGCAAACTTGACTTCCGGTGAAGCTAGTTTTGGTAGTTTCTTTGAAGCTGCGCAGTCAACGCAGCTCAATCAATGCAGAAACAAAAAAAGATCTACTAGTTCAAAGGTTGTTATAATTCATTAATCTGATACACTATTTCAATAGTATTTCATTCAATTTCAATAAGCTTAGTTGACACAATTTATGCATAATTGTGTACAGATTAAATAAAATAAATAAAGTGACCCACTTTGTGGATATGGACTGATATATGGTCATCTGTACAGGAAAACCATTTCTCGGACGGTTCTCGAGGAGGATTGCACATTGCATGCCAATAGAAAAGATGAGAAGTTTGACGTCGACACGATCTGTTGAAAACACGCAACCATCCTACTGTAATAACCCAAAATCTATACAACTAGGCACAAGGCCAAGGCTACCGACTACGACCTCTACCTCTAGGAATGGGCCGCAACTGCAATAATAGACTTCTAGGAGAATACCAAAATTTATAATAGGCTACCCAGAGAGCAGAGCAGAGAGCCACTAAAATATCCACTACCACCAGAGATGAATTCAGCCTTACACCCTAAAATGAGGTTAACCATCCATCTCCACTCCACTGTCTCGATTGGATTGGAGTTCCCGTCTTTTGTTTTGATTTTCAAGGGGGCATACGGCAGCAATTCCCCACTTTGGCCAACAAAGGGGGACTGGAGAGTGCAACGTGAAATGATTATAGGGGGGGGGGGGGTCCTCCCTTTGATGCACTTGAGCAAAGTCTTTTTCTGTTCATACAAATTGAAACAAACCTAGCTCGATATAAACAGAGTTTTTCTGTTTAAATGTCAAAAGCTCTTCCCTAATTGGCATTGTTTCTTCAAAATCTTTTACTTATTTACATCAAAAGTACGTAACTGAAATTCTCTCGTTCCACTTTTCTTTCAATTGAAAAATCACTTGGTCAAGCCATGAACTACTTTCGGAGAGTCATGTCTTAATTTGTTTGCGTACCAGAGACCTGGGGTTTATGTATTTATCAAAATTGGGTCAGATTGACCTGAACGAGGGCAAAGATGAAGTGGGTGGGCCATAGAACAGTGACTAGTTGACTACTATCAGAGTTTCAATTCATCCAATCATACCAAGACTTTAAAAACCAACCAGTTCAATCCATCCCAGTTCGAGAGTAATAATAATATAGAAGCAAAAAAGTAAATAAACAAGATGTGGCAACTGGCACTCGTATGTTAAGACATCAAAGTATTTTCCGAACGGCCAATTTACACTTTCCGAGTGGAAGTACTATTCTGGAAGATCCAAGAAGTTCCAATAGAAAACCAAACAGGTGAAATGCCAACCCCAGTTCACTTCATTCCTATCCATTTCCTGAAGCACCAATTCACACGCCATCTCCGAGGGCTCGGGTGCCCCATACTGTAATCTACCTAAGCTTTAACTAACTCCAAGCCTACCTTATCGGGCAGGAGGAAGGACCTGAGATTTTAGGCCGGGTAGCTTGTATTTTCTTGTACCTCGGTGCTCATGGATATGGCCTCCGTAGGCATATACTAATTTATATATACGGACAGGCATGCTAGTCACGTTGTATAGGCAAGTCTAAACTAAACGACCCAAGTGTGCGCACAGCTCATCCAGAGGCACCAACCACTATGAATGTTACATTTCATGTTTGACTTGGATACGGGTTAGTTTTGAGTATTAGGCACAGTTTGGAAAGAGTACAAATGCATACTAGGCTCAGTTTTGGAAGGAGTACAAATACAAATCTGTAGAGTACAAAACCTTGTATTTTGTATGTCTTTGCGCTGTACATATTTGTATTTGTACTCCTTCCAAACTGAGCCTTAGGCTCTTAGGCTCCATTTTGGAAGAGTGCAAACACCGGACCAATACAAAACAAAATTGTGTTTGTACCCATCACAACCAAAACTGTTTTATAAGAATACAAACTTATATAAATGCAAACAAAACTTTGCATTTTCATGAACCACACAAATTTGTATTTGCACTTAAAATATGTGTTTGCACTCTTCCCAAGTGGAACATGTTGCACCTCCAGACTGCTAGTGGTGTCTGTTAAGCTGGTTGAGATCAACTTATGGTTGACTTTGTGGGATTGGCCTTCAACTGGCCTCTACTGGCTAAAGTTGCACCCTGGAAATCAAGTGGTCAGAACTATGATGCATCTTAACTAACTCATGCAACATAAAGAGAGAATTGCTGTCTTCATTTCCAAGAAAAGATGTGACAAGAAGACTTCATAGCTTACCATTGCCATTGAGATCAACGGAGAGACCAACATTCTGGGCCTGGTTCTCAACCGGACTACATTGGGTGGGAGTTTGAGGCAGTCTGGGTTGGGGTGGTGAGCTTGTGTCGCTTCGGCTTGACTGCCCATTTGGGGTCTGAGACCTCACTTGATGGTTCAAGTACATCTCCAAGCTAGAAGATGATCCCCCTATCTTTCTCTGGCCCTTAAATCTTCCTCTAACAGGGAGGCGAGAGAAAAAGAAAATGATTGAAATTGCCGGGTTGAAGGGCATGTTGGGGAAAACATAGCGTTATTTTGTCTTCCGATGAAGAGCATTTTAGCCCTTTGAACCATACCTGTCTTTGCGCTTCTCAAGGTATCTTTGCAGTGACGCTTTTCTACTCGTTGGAACCTCTGCACCAGAAAAGAAAACCATCAGCCTCAGCCTCATAAAGCAGAAGACAATTTAAGTAAAAGAATGAATCATAGGAAACTAAAACAGCTTAGGAAAGACAAGTATGAATCACGTTCCATCAGCAGCAAATTAGCAACTCCGTCTAAACCCAGCTGGTTCTTGAACATTAAGAACCCTCGTTATTTTGACCATCACATATTAGTTTCTTCAGGAACTATGAAAGCATCCTGATCCTATAAACAAAATATATGGTATACGGTGTCTTATGTCTCACCGTTTGTACCCAAACTAAAGCAATGGAAATTGGGAAAAGTGTTTTGGCACATAATACAATGCACAATTGTTTATTGTAGTTCGAAAAACATGAATGTCACTAGGCACCACTAGATGTCACACAAGACAACTGAAGTAAAAATTTTCCCCGTTGGCAGAAATGACAGAGATGTTCCCCCAACACCAAGCACATAACCCAATGTAGGTGGCACAAACATTTGAAGTTAGATCTTCCCAACCAAACATGATTTTGGTACTATGAAGTCAAAATGCCTAATTGGCACATACATGAACTCTAAATGGGAATGCAACACCATGGTCCATAACATCCCCTTAATACTACAAAGTTTTGTAAATTTCAAAATCTGTGGATCATGTCAAATTAGCTGATGATCCGAATTGGGCTTTGGGCAAGACAGTGCATCTTTGAGAGGAGAGATCAAGAACTGGAGCTGGTCRAATATTGTATAGAGAAGAGTTTCCCTAATTGTTTTGTTATGGAGAAGAAATTAAAAATCCAGAATCGAGGGATAGAGGACAGAAAAACTAAAAATGTTGAAATTAAAGCATTAAGTCTAGGAGTCCCACCTCTTTTCTAGAGCAAAAGATACTGTTTCACCAATCCTTCTGCTAGCTCATTCTCACCGTCAAGATGGAGCACGAACCCATGGAAATAAGTAAGCATAAGTTTTCAGGGAGCCATTTCTTCAATTCAGTAACATATGTTACATGACTTTAATCCATGTTCATAAAGGAATAGGGCTGATTAATATTCTCATCAGCCAGACCTACAAGTGTCCTATTTTGCTACATTTAATGTGCCTTGAGAATGGAAGGTACCAAGACTCTTAACTTTAACATAATATAAACGCAAAACATTTCAACTTATATATTCCTACATAAAAGATTAATAAACAGTTGCGACTGTAAAATGGAAAAAAAAAAACCTGCATTCAAAACTAGAAAAAGAATAGTGGAACCAAAGGGTTAAGCACTACTATATAGGTTTTGAAAAGGAGTTTTATGCCAACAGTATTCACTAGAATCACACTTTCTTGTTTCCCTTTTGTGTGGGGGATGAGTGGTTGGGCACCTAGGACTGCTGCCACTTGTTGGACCCCAAGCCAGATTTTAGTCTGGTGTTTTGATCTGCCAAAAAATAGTACATATTCAAATAAAAGGGGCCTGCATTGGTTCAAAGGTGCTGACCTTGTGCCCTTGCAAATTTGATCCAACTTTGTGAAACATGCAATGACACAAGAAAAGTCCAAACTATCTTACTTGCCCCCTATCCTGATAATGTCTGCTGATGGTTAAGGTCCTCTTGCAGTTGTAAACAGATTGCAATATCAAAGGTGCCTGCATGGGCTCAAAGGTTGGTTTGCACCAGAGAACTAAGAACATGCAACACAAGAAAAGTCCAAATTTACCTTACATGCCCCCTACTTCCTGATAATACATCTGTTGATGGTAAAGGTCCTCTTGGAAAACAGATTACAAAATCAAATGGTGGAACCTTGGTTTAACTTACTTATGTTTAAATGACATCTTACAATGTGAATGTGCTGGTTCAATTTCCCTATGATTAAAGGCATCCTAGATGCCTAATGAAGACAAAATGACTCATTTATGTCCCTGGTTCAAAAAAAAAAAGAAAAAAAAATAACTCCAGGAATCCAGTGCTAGAAGTTTTATCCATAAGCTATTTACAAAAGTGGGTCATCAACAAGGTAATATGACTGCATGTGTGTCATCAGCAAGTGTTTTAGATAAATAACTTTGTCCAATGCAGCACTATCATTGAGAAATTCTAAGAGAGTTAATGGATAAAGAGTAGAAGCACTTACCAGGTTCAGCCTCACGAGACATGTCCCCTTCTTCCCGGTGCTGTCCAGACTGTTCAACTATTTTTGCTATTCAAGAAAAGAACATAAAAAGAGAAGGATCAATGAGTGACATTCAAATATTGAGACTTAACAAAAGAGTTATGTAGTTTTAAGTATAGCATCATGTACCCTATAGTTACACTATTAAACCATACTGGCACTAGACTAAAAAGTGGATTCTTTATTTCCCTACTTTGGAACCCAAAACCACATTGTACTAGTTCATAATCAACTTTAGTACTCAGATAAATAGGGCCAAAGCTGATGAAAAGATAGGAAACGATAATAAAGAATGAACATGGGTTGAGTTCCTGCACAAGCCTTACCACTTTGCAATGATGGAGAGATTGCTGCAGAAGAAGTGGTTTCTGGTCTGACACATGTCACCTGGAAACGGAAAGGAAATTGTTGAGTTGATGCAGTTCCACCAGGTGCAGAATCCTGAGGCAGACAAATGGGACTTGCTGCAAGTTGCATAATTGCTTGTGCCTGCAAATCGATCATTTGGACCAATTGGAAGGCCAACATGCTATGGGATTTATCTCCAGGTATACACACAAAAAATCAAGCCGCATTACCTTATTAGCAGGCACTCCATCATAGACATTCACCTTGCCACAATAAAAAATAGTCATCTGATCGGATGGCTCATTTGCCACACCTGTGATCCTGCCAAAATTTTAGAGGAATGCTTTCTTTGAGAAACCAATTATCAAAATAATAAGAAAAAACAAATGGCACATGAGCCTGTAAATCAAGACCATTGCACTTGGGGAAACTTTTTCTAGGGACAGAAATATCTGAGCTTAAATATACAACCCCACAGTTCATTTGTGGTTTGTCTACTACTTCAGCAACTGAATTGAGTGAGTCCAATGGTAATACATATTGCAGCTATCAAATAAACTAAACCATCTGGTCATGCACAAAAACATAACTTAAAAAGGAACAATAAAATTTAGGCTTGTCTCATGAATGTCAATGTGAGGTCATTGACCATCTAATGAACGATGAAGCTGTCAAGCAAAGATACAGAAATGGATGACCACACATATGTGAATATCCTTCAGAAAGAATCCAAGTTCCTTTCGACTATAAGTAACTCAGTAATGAATGACCACACATGCTGAGAAGAAATGGATGCAAACATTTCTCGGTATTGCATCCATATATCAGATGGGCTTCAACAGCCCTAACCTCCCCAAACAGTCATCCATACCCAAAATCAATCAAATACCCCACCCCCCCCCMAAAAAAAAAAAAAAAAAAAAAACGTACCACAAACTTAGGATTACCATTTACAAGATGGGGAAGACGTTCAAACATGTTTATTTAGGATGACCATTTACCACAATCTGTGTACTCTACCTTAGGATGACAATTTACAAGACTGACAAGATCAAGTTTTGTCTACTTACACAAAGAGCCTGATAAACTGAGGAGATTACAAGTCCATAATATAAAGATGAATATCCAACCTACCTCACAAAACTATCTATAACCTATAACTGGTTTTGTTTGTCATAACGTAGTTAAGAAAAGGAGGCAAGGAAATGGAATATATTATCAACACTGGTCCAAACTTCAAGAACAAGCACACATATTTAGTGGCATTTCTTTTATAAGTTTATTTGATGTGTAACATTAAAGTCCAACCCACTTTTGCCTGTTTCTAATCCAATTTATTGGAAACAAGAAAAAAAGGTAAAAAGGAACCATTATTTTTTTTATCAATAAAAGGAATCCATTATTAACAACACATAAACAGCCTAGCTTTAAAGAATAAATGCGTTTCATTGACAGTTAACGTCATTTCTTCACTAAGTTTATCTAATGCCAATTTTGCACTTCAAATATGACAATTATTTCCTCTGTATTTCAATCTTCTGCAGGTCCAGTCTGTGGTACAGACATACAAGAAGTATGTGCAAATTTCAGATTTACTGACTTCACTAAGAATAGCATTTTACAAGAATATAATTGCAATTTATTTTTCTCAATTCATAATACATTGCATCAACCAAGGGACAATTTCAAATCTAAGGGACAAGTCAATTATTTGACTCCCTGGTTGATAGTTCACAAGTTAATTACATAATGCCCTTTTTTGAGAAAGGGTAATGATTTCATTTGGCAAAAAGTGTGATTGTGTGTACACAATACACTGTTATTGCTTCTTTGATTTTTGTTGTATATATTACAAAAAATATACTGCATACTCCAAGCCACACTTTTAGTTTACTTTGACTGCTAAATTCTAGACAACATTCTTCTGAATTTGTGTTACAATGTTCTCAGTTGGACTTGAACCTGAAATTGTTTGGCCAACAAGTACTCTGCCCGGCTAACTGAATCATGGGATCAATTGGTACCAATATTTTGTCTTTTTACTGTCTCTTGAGACTAACACCTCAAGGCACCAGCCAACCACCTTGAATATGAAACCTTTTAATTATCATTTCACTAGTAACCAATTTGTGCAAAAGAATGGCCTTGTAGAGTCAACAGAGTTGATTTTTTAGTTGTCAAAATCCTATGATTTACAAAAAAGGATTAAAATTTTGAACACAAGTGTTTTGGTTCAAATCCTATATCTGACTCCCTTTGTGAAAAAAAAAATCTTATAATAATCATTTGAATCTTAAGATCACATTCATGAATTTTATGATTTATCTCATTCTTGTTTTTCAAATCAATTAAACCCTTATGGGTATGAAGATCTATTTAGGTTATTTAAGATTAATTCAGAAACCTTACTGAGTTTAATTCCATCATATGTAGGTTAAGGAGCATTTATATATGGAGCAATTAATTTTCAAGTCAAACTTGATTATATCATCTTAAGATTCTAATCTGCAAGTGATAAATTTTGTTGTATTAAGTAGGTAGCTACAAAAGCGGGGTCATACATACATATATATATATATATATAAACAGAAATAAGCTTATGATTTTCAGAACACTAGTCAATTTTGAGGTTTTAGAATTCTAGTTGTCCAGCCAACTTCAACTACAGAAACAGGCAAATAAATGATATGTACCAAAGGAGAAGAAAACTAATACAAAGATGTAAATGTTGTTGAACAGAGGAAGAGGGTAGGTGCTATAAAGGCTAAACAAAGGATACATCAAGAAGCCCAATATAACTCAAACATTAAGCTGAGATGGCCATACGGCCCATACTCCAACAAAGTTTACTCTCAACTCCTGCTCTATGCTATCCATCAAAGAATAGGACAATCTTTGGATCCATCTAAAAGAAATGTTCATGATAGAAGCCAAAGATCTAGTTTAACAATTCTGCAGAAGCCATGAGCATTCTCCAACCCTCAATCAGATGATAACCACAAAATCTCCCTCTACCTCAACATGAGATAAGTCAGAGAAAACATCAACCTCAAACCCTAAATCAATTCCAAGATCTTTGCTCTAATGGAAACATTTATTCCAATTAGGGCTGCGACTTGGATCAGGTTGGGTTAAGCATTTATTTAATTTTGACTGGGTCCAAATCCAAAATAACTTGGATCAGGTTTAGTTTTGATGTTCAATTCAGGCAACCCAACATGCAACCCTAATTCCAATAGGCCTAGAATTAGTTTGATAGTTTCCTCCTCTAGGTACCTAGAAGCCCCCCAACTCCAGAGTTAAACTTAACTTCAACTTGGGCTGAGGAAACGAACTCTGAGCAATGATGTTACCACCATTTAAGAACATAAGCAATGGATAAATCCACAAACTCCGTTTTGATGTGGATTCATGAGTGAATCTAATAGTGATGATATCAATTATTCTCTATGATTTCAATATCTTTTTAAAGAAGACTCTAGTGTTTCTTTTTTTCTCCAAAAAAGGGCCAATACTGTAATAAAACAAATACATTTCATATCCCTTTGAAGAATGTGCTCCAAATTTCCTTGGCTATGGTCAAGGCTTCTTCTTTTTTTTTTTTTTTTTTTTTTTGGGGGGGGGGGGAGATTTTTGTTTTCTGTCAACCAGCAACCAGAAAGAGTTCTATAAAAACTTACGACTTTGGTTATAAATGGAGAAAATTAGGATATAGGACGAAACGGATCAGTTAATATGGGGTAAAAGTAGTATTAAAATATAAAAAATGCTTTTTTTTTGTTTTATTATGGATTTTTTAGAAATTTCAAAAGGCTCTTAAGATTTCAAATATGGGCCTAAATATTGGTTTACTTATGAGCCAATTTTCCATCACCCAATGCTGATCCTAGCTACCCTGGATCTTGGGAGTGATGAACTGGATATGGACCTAATCTCCAGCATCTTTTGGCATGAATTGGCTGCTCTTGGACTCAAACTCATACTCTCATGCTTGTCTGCACGAGATTTTACCATCCACACAAAACAATTATCCCTATATGTAGACCAAGTCTAACTTCAGTTTAAATCCTTTCCCTTGTAGAGTGGAGTGGCTTAGTTAAATCGGTCTCTTTTTCTTTATGCAGTTAAGCCCTTTCTTTTTTTTGATAAATGAGCTAAGCCCTTGCTTTTGATGCACTAATCCAGAACCTTATGCTAGTTGATAGCCCTATTCCCCTTTAAGAAGGAAAGCTAGATACCCATTAACTCTGCCCCAATCTACCCATAGTCTTAGTCCTCATAATAATCTTACTCCTAGATTACTACCATCCTAGAATTTTGGCTACTAAAGTCTCATCCTATATCTAGCCATACTCGAAAATAATTGCCCCTAGGTTTAGACCTTGTTTAACACTTTAACTTAAGTTGAAATCATTCCCTCCCAGACTGGAGTTGCTTAGCTGAATTGATATCTCTTTTTCTTTATGCAGTTAAAGCACCTACTTTTTGATGCACTAATTCAAAACCTTATGCTAGTGAAATAGCTCTATTCCCCTTTAAGACCGCAACCTAGATACCCAAACTCTGCCCTAATCTAGTCATAGCCTTAGTCCTCATTATAATCTTACACATAGTCTAACCCAGATAAACCCCCTTTCTTGTCAGCAGATTCACAATGTAAAGCCAATATTTTAGATGCGAAGCAATCCAAGTAGAAGAAAATGGCATTAAATTTCTTCAAATTCAAGTTCTTGTTCAGGGCAAGTATAATATCACTAATTCCAATTAACTCCCAGGTCTGCATATGTGAATAGCAAAACCTTAATCTTTTTGCTCTCTGAGCAGACCAGAGAGCAGCAATTGACACATCCAAATTTCAAGGGGGCCAAATGTAACAGCAGTAGATTGATTATTTCCTGCACATATTAGCGGAGCCCAGCATATCTATCTATCTATCTACCAGTCTGATTGAAATTCAAAAAAAATAAWAAGGAAAAAACACACACACACACACATATATATCCAGAACTCAGGAGGACGTAAATGCATTGGCGGGAAGTTTGGGATGAGCTTCCAAATAGGATTGATTTACTGATTTTGAAGGCTTGGCTCCGGATTAAACGGATGCACATCGCGGCGCATATTAGCAAAAATACGAAAAGGTCAAAAATAAAGAGAAGAATAATTTAAAAATGACGGTAGGAAGAAAACCTGGGAGAAATGGTGTCATTGTCGGCGACCGGGAGACGGCACGACACATCACCGGGAACCGCGGGTTTCGGGGGGTCTTTTCGCCGATACGAAACCGATTCATCTGCCGAAACAGAAACCTGGAAATCGGCACTCGTTTCCTTGGCCGATGCTGTGGGAGTTACAGGGACCTACAATATTATTTATTTATTCTTATTTTATTCTATTCAATATGCTGACAGCACTCCATCTCCATGAGAGAGAGAGAGAGAGAGAGAGAGAGCGCTTCGTAATACTCACGTGTGGTGGATCCTCTGCTGCCGCCTTGGAGGCCACCTTCTGCCGGATTACGGCACCGGAATCCGTCCTCGCCTCAAGCAGCGATTTGAGTGACAGTACCTGCTGGATTGCCTGAGATTTGTTCCATGAAGGACGACGCATGCCTGTACGGACAAGAGAAGAAACGGGTACGTGGAGATAATTACGTTTGTTTTTTTCTCAATTTCAGTACCTTCTTTTTCCGTCACAAGAAAATATGAAGAAAAAAGAAAACCAAATAGAGTAAACTGTAGAAGGAAAAAAGAAAGGAAAGAAAATGGAACCTTTTTCTTTGAGGTAGCGCCGGCAATCTTCCCGGGTGAGCTGAGAGATGTCTTCTTCTGTGAGCTGGTCGAGGGGTTTATCGAGTGGCGACCGGAATATCGTCTCGCCGGATCCCATGGCGGCAGATTCCGGACAGAGCTCTGTTTTGTAGGATTGGGAGGGATTGCAGAGAGCCGAGGAAGCGCAGTGAGAGTGAGATCCACTGCTTCTCTCTCTTTCCTTGATATAAATAAAAATCCCACTTTGGTGGGGGGAGGGTCTTCAGGTATTGACTCTTCAGCGAGAGAGAGAGAGAGAGAGGTTGCGGGGGCGTGTGTGTCCAAGTTAAAGGGTTTGGCCGCGGCGTCTCCGCTTCGACGGGGCTTTTTATCTAACCTCGCTGCACCCCAGAATGCCACGTAATTGCCTCTTCCATTTTAATATTGTAAATTCCCAATTACAGTATCATCCCTCAGACTTTAGCTAAATTACCATGATGCCCCTCCATTGCACTACTCATTCACATAGGCCTGACTCCTGTCCCGTATTCCTGAATCATCTCCAGTCTGACCATTAATGCCCAGAAGAAAAGAACCGGGCCCCCTCTCCCCTGCTCCCYCAATTAGATTCGAATCTTTCTCCTCCTCGGAAGCTGTGTATTTATAACCGTTAGCCCCCTGCCAAATGGCAAGCTGTCTTCACAAGCTCTTTACACGTGGACAGCGTAGAGAGGCCTTAAATTAGCCACGCCAGCATCTCTTATCCACGTTAGTCCACTGTCATGTCAGTGAAAAACACAGGACCAACTTGACTATCTTTTTTCGCAGGGGAAGAACACTTGAAAGGACCTGAAAGAGACACGTGGACCCATGATGAAACCCCAAAAGTATATTTCTTCCACTGTTTGTTAGGTACGATTTATTTTACTTTAGTGAAAAGCTAAGCAATAAATTATACGTATATATTACAAATTTCAAGAGAAAAGGCTGTACTGTCCCATGTGGAGAGTGGAAATTAAAAGGGCGACTATCATGGCAAGGGGAGCAAAATGAGAGGCCAATTTGGATTGGCCACGTGGCAAGTTTATCTTAAACCTACATGATCTCTCCTCTACATACATATATAGATACTATACAAGCTTGGATGTGAAGGAACAAGTGGAATGGATGACAAGTACTTATTAAGCTTCTCTGCTACTGCTCCTTGAACTTGAACAGCTTTTGATATAATCCAACAAAAACCCAACCAAAATTCAGGTTTGACTTGGACCAACTTTCCAGTCACTTCAAAAATTCAAAGGAAAGGAAAGCAGCTTTTCTTATCTTTCCTTACATTCTGTCTTCCCACGGCAAGCCGTTCAATGATGACTTGACTTCCTTCAATTGCTCTCCGGCTCTCCCTTGAAGGTTAAAGCCTCTTTTCTGTCTTCCCATTCATCGTCCCCATTGTTCCTCTCTTCTCCCCCTCACCAGTCAGACAGTCACCGGCAAATTAAGACCTGTCCGAGCTTTTAATTAGACAAACTCAGGAGATGAGGTTGTGCTGAACTCTTTTAACATCCAGCCAAGAGGCTCACATTCTCACAGTGGTTCTCCTGTAAAGGATATATATTGGTCTTATTGAGCATATGTAGCTTGACAATGAATTGAATCCCACCTAAAAAGATGAAGCTAATTTTGGTGGTTCACAATTCTTTTTTTTTTTTTAACATGACATGTATTGAGAAGTTGTGACCATCTAATGGATCCCTTGGTCTAGAACCCTAAAATATTTAATTTCTTATGAAACAAATGAACAGAGCAAAAAAAGAAAAAAGGTTTCCAGATGAAGCACATGGATTTCTTTCTAGACAAGATGTACTGTTAATGCCATATAAAGAGATGTTATGACAGAGTCAGCCCCCCTTGTGTAAGATAATGGACCACATTTTAAAGCGTTCAACCCACCCCAATACAGCACTGTCACTCAGCTTGATTATTGATCTAAAACTCCAACAAGAAAATGTCAAAAATTTAATTATATTGATTTTTAAAGAATAAAAGCTTGGGTTGGTCCATAAAGTGTAAGCGGAAAGTATGCACTCAGAAAATTAAAATTATTACTATCCAACCCTAAAGGAGCTTAAAAGTTTAAGCAGTTAGGTGAGATTCATATATAGAGATGACAAATTGGAAAGAGTTCCAACCTGTTCTTCCCCAGTTGGGCCAGGTTTTAGGGAAACCTGAAACTCTGATGATCAGGAACGGGGTGGGGATGATATTTGTCCACCTAACTCCAATTAAATGTGTATGTGTGTGTATCTATATATACATTACATGGTAGAATATAGTTGTAGTAGGTTTAAAAAATAAAAAACAGAATTGCAAGTAGGGATGATTAGGGTGGGGCATGAAGATGGGGTTGGGATTTATAGCCTTGTTGGAGTATGGGATCAGGTAGTTGAGTTTAGGGTTGGGGATGGGACATGCAAAACCCGGCTCCGCACATGAAAGTAAATTGAGTTTTGAAGTAAAAACAAGCATAAGCCCAACCATACCTCATTACCTTGTCCTGAATTTTAATTAATTATAATGGAAGCACCAAGGACCAAATACCAGATCACTTAGTCAAATAGGCTTCAATACCAGCTGAAGGAAGAGTGTTCAACTGTTAGGTAAATTCTCTGACTCTACCAATCGACCTTTGTTGATTTTCCTGAAAACCTCTTCAAAACTTAAGCTTTCTTCCTTAGAAAAGAATTTCAGAAATTCTTATCTGAATCACATTACTAGATTGAACTAGCATAAAAAGAAGGAAAATATGGCACATTAAAACTGGCAGAAACCTTTAACCCATTCTGTGGTTTCATGGGTTGGGTTTGTCTCTACTTTATCCTATATTGTTTTATGAAAAAAAAAAAAAAGATTATTAAGGGGGGTTTTTAAGCAATTCCATGTTAAGAAATTCCCTCAACTTTCTGTTTCTCTCTTATTTTCGAATAAAATGGGCATAGTTTAATGGTCCATCTTAATGGGTGGTACCCAATGCCCTATTTAAAACAAATTTACGACCGCCTACTATTCCCAGAACAAGTAAATCTTACTAACCAGTAACTCCACCAGATGAAACGTCGGGGCTTTTCTCGGGTTCTTGCTCTTAAAATCTTAGCAAAGTTCTGCTAAAATTTTGTTAGTCTTCAGTCCAATCCAATATTGTCAAACTTGGACCGGATAAAAAACCTGAAAGTTGAGAGTTGACTGAGTCATGGTTTTTCGGTTAACCGTAGTGGTGGACATGGCGGGGCTGGGTCCAAGCTGAGCACCTATGACAACAGCCGGGGTTTGGTTTCATATCATCAGCACTGGCTCGGACTCCAGGCCAGACGTTGGGCTATACACATATGCAAATATTAACCATATAAACCCATTAAGTAACCAGGGCATAAAACGCTCAATAGGTCACCGAATCACCGGTTCAACCATCCAGTCTATTCTGCGACCCATAAATCAATCCATGGTCTGCATTTAACATATCAAAATGAGAAGGAAGGATCTGTTTGAGGGCATTAGGGTTTGGATCATGGAGGAAGAAAGGCAGAAATACATATGATGGATATTGTTGCTGGACCCTTTACACCATGTGAAATGTCGACCCATATGTGGGTATACAATGAAGTTTAAAGGACCAAGTTGCACCACCCACTTGCTTACTTTGATCTCCAAAGCTTTTTAACTATATAGAGCCCACAGTCCATCCACGTCACAATTCCATTATATAAATCCTATATAGCTTCTTTTCCTTTCCTTGTATTACTAGTTGCCAATTTATTTATTTATTTTTTCTTCACGTACTCCTCAAATCTGTAAAATCAAGTGCATATTTTGTTGGAATTTTTTAGCTTCAACAGGAATGAAACAGCGATTTCAATATAATGATGATTAATATGATAGTTTAATGCATTAGAGCCCTTAGCTAATTAACAAGCTTATTTGGGCACGAACTTTGTATCCTTGACCACAAAAGTAATGGTTCTTGTTTTCTGTGGATTATAAGTGACTGTTTGGGAGGGAGGGCTTTTCCATGCAGCGGCTTCTGGCTTTCCAGTGAAGCTTCTTTGAGATGAGATGGCTCAGTTAAAGCAGCTCGATCAAAACTTCAACAGTACTCTCTAAAAAGGGCCTTAATCTTAGTTATGGTTCCGTGGGCATAAAGTTACTCATCAGTCATCCTAGCTAGCTATCTTCTAATATAGCTTTTGGGCATAAAGTTGACTTGTCTTGTTTTATATATTAAGGAGCTGAGGAGTGAGGACTATTGCTGGCCAGTGGAAGAAACGGCCACAAAGCCCATCTTTTATCATGATTAAGTCTATAGAGGATTCTCACATGTACACATGGGAAATGTTGCATTTTAAGGATCCCAAGTTTTCAGCTCTATAGGATATTTTTTGTTTGAGGGACTATGTAGACGATGGGGATAGCCCATCCCCATCTCCTAAAGGGCCTAAACCTCCGTAACCCTGGTCACTGCTACGAAGCCAAAATCCTACCAATTGGGCCACCAACCAGTTGAGATGCTCTGTTGGAGATGGGAAATTAGTGAGTACGTTGAAGAGGGAGAATTGTACTAGACTAGATCCATGTCTGAGTTCTTTCTATATATGTACTTATGTTTAAGGTGACAATAACGGTTTTACATGGAAGAAAATCTTTCAACATACCCCAATTGTGTTGCGACGTGCCTACCTTATTATAATTACCTCTCTCTCTCTCTCTCCCTAAAAAATATGCAATAAGGTACGTACACAGAGGGCCTCTCTATGAAGTAGGACATAAGTCATTTAATTAAATGAACCAAAAAAGTCATTTAATTTTTCCACCATATGCTTATATACTATAATATTAAAACGAAAATGTATTAATTATATTCTACATAACATTTTTTCTTTTTTTTTTATCAAATCAATGAATCCCTACTATTTTAGAAGCTTTTTTATAGACCCCAAACTTTGCTTGAGGCTCCATTTGGAAAAAAAAGTATAAATACAAATATGTATAATATAAATATATACAAAATAACACAAGCACTTTTCTAGAAGCCTTCTTTGATAAATTTAAAAAACTCATGTGAGACAGAGATCTTGTGTATTATTATTAATTTTATTATTATTATTATTATTATGGTTTTAAATAAAAAAAGTTCTGCCATCTTGTTTTAAAAAAGCAACTTCTAGTATGTTACCTATGTACTTGTTGAGCTTTTTGTCCTTTTTGTTTCCACAACTAAAAATAGGTGCTTCCGAAAACTTGTACAAATGCATCAAAGTCTCTACTTTTTAATTGGGTAGTTTCTTTTACATTTTTTATTTTTTTGGGCTGGGTTGAGCTGAGCTGACAAGATTGTGTAATTTGTATTTGGGTTCTTA